CCGGACGAGGCCTGAAGACCCCTTTCGGGTCCGGGAAAACGAGGACAAACGAAAAGATGGTGGAATAAATTTAAAGGACTGCACTCTCTAAAAAATAGCCGCCTTTTATAACATTTTAGCTGTTTTTATTTTAACCTAGGGTGACGTCACATGCACTTGCACTGGGTACTTGCGGTTTTCTGGTAGGTGGGTAGGTCGACCTTCGTAGCAGGATCATCGATGATTCGGCTGTAGCGACCAGCATGACATCGCTGACATTTCGGCGTTGTTTCTGCTGTCTCGATTGCTGGTGAATTGCCGTCGGAGCTGATGATGAGGTCGCCGTTGAGTCTACGATTAACCGGTGATCGCCGATAGAAGCACCGGTGGCAACGTGGATCAATCGGCGCAATCGACCGTTCAGAGCGCCGGTTGTGAGGCGGTGAGGCTGATGAAAACGCCGACGTCGAATCGTTGTTACGATGTGGATGATGCCACTTGCTTGATGCCAACAAGATGGCGGTCCTTCGTCTATTCTCGAGTGGCCTTTTTGATCGTCGAGAGCAATGGCGGATCTTCTGCTCCACGCTGATTCTTCCAAGAATGTCTGATGAGGATAGTGGACCTGGACGCTGATGGGGTTTCCTGTCCGTGAAGAAATCGATTCCGATACCACTGACTAACGTGGATCGCCTGGCTGGTATCGGTGACTAAAGTGGCGACTAGTCTGAACGCTCGCCGAATGGTCCGGTGCCACTATCCTTGGCTCCTCTTGGCTCTTTCTGCGGAAGAGAGTTTCGGAACTTGTCCGAATAGGAGAAAAGGCCCAGATAATGGACCTACCCAACCCATTAGTGCTATGACGTCACAAAATAGGCTGTCCGGGGTTACATTATATAATTTAACAATTTAATTACCTTTTTCCTAATTTCTACGTTGGATAACACGAAAAACTTATTGAATGCAGTATCAGCAGTAAACCTAATGGAGATTAGAAAATATTTTCTTTTTAACTTTACTTTACCCTAGCTTTAATTTTTACAATATCCTTCTTTTAATCACTTTTAATTTTCACTACCTTTTAAATGATTTTAACTACTGCCATTAACTTTATAACACCACATAAATATAAATCAACTTTTTATTTTTTATTTTAGGAACACGCGCGCACTTCCACTTCCTACGGAGTTCACGGACAGAAGAGAGCGAACAATTCTACGGCTGAGCCGATCAACCCATGCTATGAAACATCGAGTCTTTGTCACTTGATGTTCTTTGTGTCACTTTCTTCCGTGGCATCATTTGTGGTCATGCTTTATATTTACGGCGCCGCGGAGCGGCAAACGATATATTTCGCTGGTTCAAACCGCTGCCAACAAACAGTGAGAGTCAGACATGATTGTGATATTTAGGGAATAGGGTTCTGTATTGGGATGGAACACCTTATAAAAAAATAATCGCAAGGTGACAAAGTCATCTGCTACGTTTAATTGTAACCGCTGGTTACAATTAACGAGGAAAACTAGCACTTTCTGAAAAAAAAATGAATGAAATTCCGTTCCGCTTTGTTTATCTAAGCTATTGTATTACAAAGTCACAATTTATATAGCAGATAATGATTAGATATATATAACTAGAATGCGCGTAATTGCGTCAATATGCATCATTCAGTATCATTAAATGATTGAAAATTTAGATCAACCCATCCGAAAACAGATTTTCTTTCACTTGTTTTACGCTGCAAAGGTTTTGGGATATCACTTAAATATACCAACCATCAGAAGGACCTCAGCAATTAATGATGAAAAGTGCACTCAAGATCTTTTTGGTCAAATTTTATTAGGCAAAAATGCTCGATAATAGGGGAAAAAAAGCTAACTCTCTAATAAGGAAAATCTCAAAGGCTTGGTAGCCATCATAATGAAGTAATGAAATTGGGTTGTTCGCGGAATGCTTAAATAAAACAGCAAAAAAAAATTATCTTCAATATAATTTCACTTAATTAATTTTGGTATCCATGACAGATGCGTATTTCGACTACAATGTGCAGTCTTCATCAGTGTCATTCTCACTAAAGAACTTATCAAATTCTAACCTCCTTAAGTACTCATCCCCTAGATAAAAAAGTCAATTTTCTTTTTTAGAGAGTTGTATAGATTTTTCTCCTTTACTTTACTTAAATCTTTGGTTTTTATTAGTTAGGTAGGATCCGATTCAACACATTGGTATACCTGTGATCTTGACTTTTTTACCTAGGGGATGAGTACTTAAGGATGTTATGTTTTGATAAGTTCTTTAGTGGGAATGACACTGATGAAGACTGCACTGGTTGACGCTAAATGATAAGTACAAGTGGCTTAAAAGTACCATTATGTACCAAACCCGGACACTTGATTATCAAATATGATCAAAAGGCTACGTAAATTATATGATGACCCTGTCGTCCATGTTCATCTAACATAATTATTTTGTTTCCAAGTTGATTGGAGCGTTTGGTACGGTACTCGCAAAAAAATCCGTTCCCATATTCGTGAACAAGAGCCGTGAACTATAGTTCACGGTGTACATTTCCTTCTAACGGGTGTTCAATAAAAAAGAGAATGATTTCAGTGCCGCTCTTGTGAGAGCATCACGACTAAGTGCGTCGTACGGCTGACCAGGGCCCCTTTTCCAATATTCATTGACGTTTTTTGAAGAATAAACATTATGTTTTTAATAAAAAAATACTGAATTTGTTGAACACCCGTTACGCGCGGACCGTTCATGGTTCATGGCTGCCGTTCACGAATATGGGAATGGATTTTTTCAAATATGCCCACGCATCCTCCCACCCCATGGCTTCAAGAAATGCATCGTTGCTTAAATATTTTTATTTAAACTCGAATCATTTTCAAGAATCATCTTTGCGACAAATATAACGCATGATTGTGTTATATCTTAGATATGCTACAAACATCAATATTGACAAGTAAAATGGTAAGGGGTTATCTAACCTAATAAATTTACAGGATGCTTTCTTGTACTGGCTGCGTTTGTATGAGATTAGATTAGATTAGATTAGATAATTGTTATGTTTCTTTGTGGATGTAATATTTAATTAAAATAAAAGGTCTGGTTTAAAAGACTGTGTGGAATTCGGTACATAGGTACATAGAAAAAGTACGCAATCGATATACTTTCTGAACTTTCAATTCACAATTCAAGTAAGTTGAACACCAAAATGAATCAGCAAAAACTAGCTAAATTGTGTTCATGATGTTGCTTATGTTGGAATTAAATACGAAACCAGTTTTATGAGCAGGTAATATTGTATATGTTTATATTTTCAACACATAATCTTTTTATTGATAAAAACCAATTGTTTCCGTGAAATTCAGGAATCCTGGAAAACTAAAATTGTGTTGCCGAAAAATCTTAGTTCCAGGGAAAGGAAACGATACGCTTCACACGATGATTTTCTAGCCATAGTGCATTGGAGAAAACCAACTTCTTCTTTTTCTTCTTTTTCTTCGTATTTCAAGCTTATTGCATATCGCATATTAGCTTATTGCGTGCTCTCAACATAGTGTTCTAGATGCACTTCCACAGTTATTAATTGAGAGCTTTCGATATGTGTGGCAAGTACAATCATACTTCTATGCCCAGGAAAGTCGAGAAATTTTCCAACTCGAAACATTCCTAGACCGGACCGGGAATTGAACCCAGCCACCTCCAGCATGGTCTTGCTTTGTAGCTGCGCCTTTACCGACTGAGCTAAGGGAGGCCCCAAAACTAACCCAAAACAAACTTTGTAGTCAATATTAATTTTGCAAAACTATCTCAAAAACCATCCGACGATCACATATCAGAAAATGTTAATGCTGTGAAACATTGAAAATTGTGTGAAATATTCCTTGGTGCATCCTCTTGTTACATGAGTTGTATTTTGACCGATTGTGAGATCATGTTGATAAAATGAGTCTTTATATTGTTCCGTTGATAGTCATAAACGGAGGCCTCCCTTCGCCCAGTCGGTAAAGGCGCAGCTACAAAGGAAGACCATGCTGAAGGTTGCTGGATTCAATTCCCGGTCCGGTCTAGGACTTCTTGGAAAATTTCTCGACTTCTAGCGTAAATTTTGACATAAAATTTAGTCATAATAGACGGGACATTCAGCTCAATCAAACGTACTTTCAAACTTTTCAGTCTCGGAGCACTTAATTTTACATGACAAGTTTGTTTACGTCTCACCCTTTATGTCAAAGATGGATTACGTCACGTGTAAGATTAGGTATTTCTTAGTGTGTATGATTGTATTTGCCACACTAGCTATACTAATGCAAGCATCGAAAGCTCTCAATTAAAAACTGTGGAATTACATCTAAAACACTAAATTGACAATTAGAGATTATTAGGCTTGTTCGAGTCTAATAAGTAAGGAAAACCCACAGCTGCCGGAGTTAGTTTCCGTGTTATAACAAGTGGTAGACTACTGTCATGCATCATCATGCATCATACATGCGGTGAAACATTGCAAATTCTGTATATCTTTTGTGCAAATGTGTAATAGAGGTTAGGTTATCTTTCTTTCAGTCATAGGCTGGAATGTGTAATAGATTTTCAAGTAGTATCTTGCATTTCCTGGTTGGGTTACATAATACAGTCAATTCTCCATATATAGATGTTTTATATCTCGATATGTAACCACTTTTTCTATGTGTCGATGGTTATTTCGGTCCCTTCAAACGGTCTAGTGGGCTAATTTATTGATAATCACGTCCTCATAATTGATAAGGATCTGTTAGTTAAACACTTATTTATACTGAACCACCGTATCCATCTTCCAATAAATTTTACTTAACTTTATCAAATTAAATTCCTGTTAAATTTGAAATCCATAAAACTGCCAAGTGATGCAAAACATTTTCAAATAAGGCAATAAATTTAAAGCCATGCTTGAAGTCACATTAATTGAACACAGTCAGGTTCCCTGCGGTAATTTACGATCACACTGCACAATAATAATCTGCTTGGTTACTCACCTCAGTCGCTCCCGCCTTTGTTGGTACGATTTTTGATTGGTTCGCAACCGTTCCAAGATTGTCCGGTACTCCTGGAGCTTCTGACTAAACTCAGCCAACTCGATTAGCATTTTTATTTTATTCTGCTGCTGCTGGTGGGTAACCGCTTGCTGTGATTTAATAACACAACACGCTGCCTTCGATCACTTCGATTCACTGACCACTGGAATGTTTCTGTCAATTATTGGCACGCGCATAATTTCGAAAACTTCCTGGCTCATCTAGAAACAATTAAATAGAAAGGGCATTCGATTTAAGAATGTAGACGAGAAATTCGAACAACAGGCACTGAAGCTGAACACTGTTTTCAACCAAATGAGCCTGTCACCTTTCGACAATGTATGTTTATGTTCATACATTTCCTCACGTTCATCACACTTCGATTGGATCGCTATTATCGGTTAATAGTGATTAAAGCACTACTGTGGAGCCGTTTGAGCTAAGCAAGCGCCCAGTCACAGTTGATTTGTCAAGCAATTATGACATTGTCTCACACCGTTCGCGCGGTCAGTTCGTGCCTGCTAGCTGCAACGTCGCGGCGGCGCATTCACTCCTAAACGGATAAAATACGCGAAACACGAAACAACATCAACGAACGAAAATAAAATAAAAACACAGACGAAACGAATATCGAGGTTAATTGTAGCAATTTCACTTTATAATAGTTTCCAGTGTTGTCGCTTTTTGGCAGTAAGCTTCTTCTGATGCACTCCCGTTGTTGATGGCCACACCGGTGCCGGTGGTAGCAATTCCGATCCGTCACCCATAAGAACCATCAATCTTCGATTCTACGCGGTTTTTCTAGCATTACAGCATCTCTCGCCCGTTCATCATCACTCGCGTCGGATTGCTTATTTTGCGCTTTTTCCCCTCCAATTAGTCACCCCCTTTTGCTGAACGTTTGAATTCTTGTCTCATTAGATGTAATAGCGGAGACCTTGGCATACTTCTCAGAGGGGTTACTTTCAAGAAGGATTTTGTCTTGGTAAATGGATTGATGGAAATGTATATAAATGATCGCAAAATTAACTCACAACTTTCCACTGTTATAAAATTAACTAATTTATAAATTTTAAAAATAAATCATAGAATTCAACTGGTAGTGTGTGTCTATGAAAATAAGCAAACTTATTGTTATACTTGTAAGTAAGCAAGCGTCCTTGATTTCTTTCTCATTTGGGTGGTTCAAACGATGCATATTGCTTAAAACAGCGCATACGTTTTCAAATCTATTTGAGCTCATTTGGTTACATCTGAAAAAGGACATTTACGCTTATGTTATGGTAATTAATGTGACAATAGTGGATAATTTGAAATCGATTAAGATGTATGGACCAAATTGGATAATTTGTACTACCCTAGCATTTGTACTACCCTAGCATTAGATCAAGGAAGCAACTTTTCCGCTGAGTTAATGAGACAACATGGAACACGACTTATCCGAAATCTCCCTACATTTGTACAAATCTCACATAGTGCGAAAACTTTTCTAACACATGAATCCTCGTTATCTTCCCCAGTGGACACTCTGATGACACAAGCTGGAACGTAACAGCAGCAGCCTACTACGTTTCTTCTGCGTTCCCAACAACACTCACTATCTTTACTGCGGTCATGACAGTTTGGATATCAGAACAACAACTGAAAGCGCCGTGTGTCTTCCATGCAGCAAACGTGTACCAGCAACAAAAGTACACACACAAAAAAAACCGACAATGAAAACAGAAGATAAATAAAAATGTGTGCCTCTCTCTTCTGCTCGGCCTACTTTGACCACCGGACTGAACGACGAAGACTCCAGCGTGATTCGTATTGTTGGAGTGTCACTCGGCATTTATTGTCATCGCACAGTTTCGACCAATTAGCACTAAGCTTTATGACAATCGTTGGTAATATTGGGGCGATTTCAGTTCCTAAAGTGACCCAATCACAGTTTATGAATAAGCTTCGCACCTGTGAACTGTTGAAGCACTGATTTCTGCAAGAGATTTACAGCACTGACTTGCAAGTAAAATCTCGCGATCTGCAAAATCTTGAGCTAGGGTAATAATTCAAAACGGTCGAAAAAACGTTACCACCTCCGACGAGACGACGATCGAATGAAGGCGCGCAATCCATCGTCGTCAGGCAGGTGACGTCGGAAAAATAAGATGTAAAGAATTGTTCGCTTGTCTCACTCTGTCTAAACGTGCAATTAGAGGAGCAATCAAGAGAAATACGAAGTATCTACAACAACAGCAGCAAAACACTTGCTACAGCCACTGTGGCTGCTGCTGTGGTCGAGTTTTCTCGCTCATCCGGGCTTATGATGCGGGGGGTATCCGAAAGGGAATGGTACCTTCAATCAGTACAAAAAATGATCGCTAATCTTAAAAGTCTCGGACAATAGTATTTTCATGTCAATTATTGTGTGATATGAAATATAGTATACCGTTTGATATTACACGTTTAGTTTTTGTCCTTGTCATCTTTTGAAACAAAACTGTTTTCTAATTATGATAGTTGTTATCATATTTAAAGAAATGCCTAAACCATTTATTACATTCTACTAATCGAGACACCCTTCCCCGCACACCACAGATTTCATGGGAGAATTTCGATTCAATAACTGAAAGTCGGAGAAACAATAACACCTAGCGAGTGCACTAGAGTGGGTACCAGCATCAGATTAGACGGTACTTAAGTTGCATCTCTCTCTTCCTACAGCTACAGTTAGTAGTGTAAGGTAACCATTTCTATGGCTGCTATTTGTAGTCTATTACAACACCCGAGCGAGCCGGTTTCAACCTTGAGAGGGTTAATGTTTATCTCGAATTAATTAATTGCGGTACATGTAGTGTGTTTTGCGCTGTTCTTCCCAATTGCCCATTCTACACTCCAGCTGTAGTTATGGGCTAAACACTTCCAGCTATTATCATACAGTTTTATGGTCTTTTAACGAGCTAAAAGTGCTACCTTCGCCATTGATCCTGATCGAACTGTTTGTAACATATTGTAAAAATTGTATAAACACATTTTTAAGAAATATTTAATGTTATCAAATATTTTATTGTACGCAAAACCTTGCAATTTAAAAAAATCTCAGCGGAACTTAGCTTCCTCTCACGATTGGACATAATCAGACCTACTCATCGGGGATAATATCCGTGAGATAAGGGAAGCAAAATATGAATAAGCTCTTATCGTCATCCACTGACGTCGTATTCAGACAGCAATCGTTGTTCAAACAGGTGTGCCCACTTTGAATATTTTTTTTTTCTTTATCGGTACCGGCTGTGTACTGGTAAGTATGATTGCCTCTCACCCCAAAAGGCCTGGGTTCAATCCCAGTCGGCGCCGCCGGGATTTTCTGAGGCATAAAATCTCCGATCACGCCAAAAGCCGTTGGTCCCTGGTCCTTGAGAAAATGGGTCGATATGTAGGATCCAGGTGTGGGAGCTGTCATCGGTGGGAGCTGGCATCGGTAGCATCGGTACTCAGTACGTAAAACAAGATCGACGGAAAACAAATCATGCAAAAATAATAATAGAGTGTCACTTGCTTTGTATATGTATATGTTTATTAGGGGTCTCGGAGATGAACTAGCCATAGGCTAAAAATCTCCTTAATAAAGAACATAAAAAAAAAATGTTTATTAGGGTGTCTATCCTTTTTTTTTAACAGGCCTTATCAAAAATTTGAATTTTCCCTGTTTTGTTTTCCGTCGAACTTATTTTCCGTGCTGATCAACAATGCTACCGACGCCAGGGAGGCAGCTTCCACACCTGGACCCTACGTATCGACCCATCAACTCATGAACCGGGGACCAACGGCTTTACTTCCCTTCCGAAAAAAGGCGTGATCAGAGATGTTATGCCTCAGAACATCGTGGCAGCGCCGACTGGGATTGAACCCAGGCCTGCTGGAGTGAGAGATAATCACGCTTACCACTACACCACTGGCGCCGCTTAACATATCCAAAATTGTCATTGCCATCATTGCCATTGCCATCAATTTGTCCATGTAAAAGGTGTGGGCAACCTTTGTACTTCTTCCTTCACAAAGCCTTTCGGATCATACCCATGTTACATTGCAAGTTTTATTGAAGTCTTAAAGCATTTTTCAAGAACAAATCAGTGTCTACAAGACTATAATAAAACTAAAACTGTTTCTTGGTTACTGTAATGGTCCCATTGTCGTATTTGGGAAGACACATATTTGGTTAATTCCTGGGAAGTTAAATATTAAATTTTCCAATAATATCCACTACAAGCGGAGATAAACTAGCCATAGGCTAAAAATCTCCTTGATAAAGAACTTAAAAAAAATCATCCACTACAAACCAAACATCTATATATCAAAATTACATAAATTGAAGAACAGTCGAAACACAAAAAGCACCCCATGAAACTCCAAGCAAACGGCTATCGGATCTCGATTTCATGTGCTTTAACCATAACCCTCCTTATGTATCAAAGTCAACCTCTCCGGAAGCGGAAATCACTTCCTCAACCAAACCAACCAAAACTGACCCCTTCCGATGCCTTAAAAGCTTATGAAAAGTTCTCTTTTCTCCTACGTCTTGCAACTGACTATCAAAGCAACATGCGATCTTGAATGTCTTTCGAGTCTTTTCCTCTCAGGGGAAAGCTCTAAATTTAGCCACTTTAGCCCGGCAACCAAAAGAGACGCACACAAAAAACTCAATCCTAGTGGTGAAACTTTTACGCCACAGCCTCCTTGGATGGCATTGACTGGTTCTGAGATTTTTTTTTCTTTTGGCGGTTGCTGTGGCAACCTTCGGTTTCATTCACGCGAGCAGACAAGCGCGAAGGTATACCTTATATTTTATATCAATTTTTGGTGGCAGTCAGCCCATATCAAACTTCCTGATTGACTGCCACCAAAAATAGATGGCTGTAGTTAGACAATATTGAACGCTCGATTACAATTATCACCTGAGGGGTGAGAACAATAATTCAGTGCATTGTCACGGCTCATGAAATTTCCTCACACACACGCCACATTCGTTACCAACGCCGAGCAACGGTAAGTCATCATCCGAGACATGCTTTGCGGTGCTTGTTTTTTGGTGGCCTTCCTCTGTAGCCTACTGCGCTAGTGCGGTGGAAAACTACTGTTTTCTCTCTACTGTTCGACACCAGGCTAACATGTTTATCTCAACCGAAGTAGCACGTGACCATAAGCGTGGGAAAATTGGTTGCGATTTTCTGACTTTTTTTTAGTTTGAT